CTGTATTTACATAAAATAGTAATAGATCAACATTTTAATTTACACTGAAAGGTATAAAATTGTTAATGATAATTTATTTTCTTATATTGGTAGGCTTACCTTCATTTTTTTTATTTTCTGAGGAATGACATGTTCATCATTTAACTTATGCAGCAAACGCATTTCTGCATGTTTGCAGTCTGTTAAATAAACATCTACAATGTCATTCCATTTTGATGTTTTCCCATTCAATAATATATTTTTGTCAAGAAAATTGTTTCTTAGTCCTTTAATGAGGTGCGGAGGATCAAATATCACATTAATCTTTTGACCTCTTATTATGATTGTGTCGTCTGAAATGAAAACAAAAATTTGGTTAATAGGCAATTAAAAGTATAAAAATGCATTACTGATAATTTTAGCACTTTATTAAGAACTTTAATTTGTGGCTTTAAACCTTTCATTCAATTATCTTACCAGTATTTTCCTTTGCCAATATTTGTTTTTTTCTTGTATCTTCCTTCAACTTATTAATAGCTGACTGGAATGAAGTTCCCTGGTCTGATATCAAAGCCACAGGAATTAATCCAGTTTTTATTATTTCTTCTGTCACTTGCTCTATTATATTTTTTAATATAAGTGCAGGTGTAGTTCCTTTACAAAAATAAAAGGCAATAGGCTGTTGCCATTTGTGTACAGCACCTCGAATGAGGAACACTAAGGCATGGTCAGCATAGTCACAGGTTTTTGACAGTAACTCTACAAGCCCACAGATATTGTCATTGTATTTGTCATATGTAAGACCTGGCTCTATCGAAACTTCATCAAATATTAGCGAGCAATATTTTTTCGATTCTTGCCAATTTACAACCTAGGAATAAAAAACATTAGGTAATTAACTTAACATAATAATATATTTAACACAAAAATGAGTGTTTAAGGAAACAGTATACCTCAGTTTTAATCGCTTTGAATATATGAGGATTTATTCCCGAATCCATTTTCAACTTATTAATTAATTTATTAATTGTCCTTATGGAGGGAAGAATGAATATTCTTCGTAAAAATCTGTAGCTTTTTGGGCTTTGTTTCATTATAGCAAGTGCAATCATTTTTTCCTCATCAGAGAATCTCCACCCTTTTGAATGTTTTCCACTTTGCATTATTTGCATCCATATAATTTTTTTCGCAAGGGGTTTCAAGTTACAAGTTAATTTTTCAAAGTTTTCCTTTTTAGAAAACTTCATAGCCCTTTTGGCTCTTTTAGCAAAACTTAACTGTTTTTTAGCTTTTTTTAACTCGTTCAATATTCTCAAATATGATGGTGAAAATTTTTTATTCCTTGTAGTATTCTTCCGGATGCACTTTTTAGATGTCACCACATTACTACATTGCGGCAAATCTGCACAACATAAAATTTACTACTTAAAATTTCAATAATAACAATCTATAAAATATGACATTAATATATACAAATAAATAAAATTGACTCAATCGAAAGGCATGCTAAGAAGCTTATTGGTGACTTGAATTTGGTTAAAACAAATCTAACTAGCCTCGAACACAGGCGCAAAGTAGCCAGCCTTACGGTTTTCTACAGGATGCATGTCGGAAAGTGTGCTACACATCATTCTTCATGCGTCCAGCAAAGGAGTGGAATAAGTAGCCAGCATCTGTTTTTCCATTTGATTACAATCTGGGTGTCTTCAAGGCAAGAGTGAATAAGCTTTTGTTAAGTCAGTGTGCTTCACCATCTTAGGCTACAACATCACCACTTACCATCAGGTGGGATTGTAGTTAAGAGCTGGCTTATATTTAAAAAAATATATAAATAAACAGTTGAGTTACCTGGTATTATCGGTTGTTGATTGTTTTGGTCACAAGCAGTTTTTTCAAAGTCCTTACTAGTAGATGGCATATTGGCTAAAACATAAAAATAATTTAAACTTAAAGTATAAACTTAAAGCATGACAATTGAATCATTATAAAAGTTAAAATAATTTTGCCTAATTTCTTTAAAAAATTATTACTGTATTTTTAGAAGAATTTATGAAGATTTTTATGATTTTTACAATTATATTTACCAGTTTTGTCATGATGTAGACACACTGCTATTTTTTCTGTCATTTTAAAATGTTTATAGATGGATGGTGGTTCATTGTAATCTGGAAACAAATATTTTTTTCATAGTTAACGGTGAACAGCAGGCAAAATCCTTAAAATTTCTGCCATCAAAATGATAGTCACATCAGATAGTAGTTGTGTGGTATATATATTAAGAGCTACCACTATAGCTCGTGAAATAAATGACACAATGAACAACAAAGTGACTATCATTGTGATGTCAACAAAGTTAATGTAATAATAGGACAGCAGAAGTTGCTGTCATCTTAACGATGGCTTTAAATTTTTAATTTATATATAAATATTTCAATAATTGTTATGTTAAATATTAACAGTTTACATCATTATTCTAGGTTTAATAATGATCTCTTTCCCCTAAACCATTAAAATGCATTAATGCACAACTGTTCTGCTGAGTGTAAAGAAAAGATAGAAAAAAGTACCTTGTGATTTCAAAGGTTGTGTTTTGAAGTAGGAATGATCTTCATGGTGTCTTTTTCGTGCTTGTGTATAATCATGATCATAAAAAACATTTTGGTTTTCTGAAATAAAAAGGATTTGAATAAAACAAACCATTAGAGATAAATTCATGCATTCATTACAGCCTAACAAAGACACAAAACCGTGTATTGTCCTGAGGATTTTGATTTCAATAGCCTTGCGAAACATCCTTGGAAGGAATCGGTGTTCTATAGAGAGGATTTGTGGTCATCAAATCTAATGTAGTAATGGGGGCGATCCTGTATGAGTTCACAGACTGCAGACTTCCCAGAGCGTGGATTCTTAACATCAGCTATGTGTTCTTTAATGTGGGTTTTTATTGATCTTTTAGCTTGTCCTATATAAGAGAGACCACATTCACAAATCAAGCTTGTACACTTCTTCTTAAGTGCAATGTCACTCTGCAAGATGCAGGAGCATCTTGCAGAGTGACATTGCACGTAAGAAGAATGATAGTAAAAACTTTAATAATTTTTAATCTGGAGGTAACCATGGTTAACTATGACATTGGGACTTCAAACACCTCAGTCCCCCCGTGACCATGGGTGCTGCTGTAAAGTACTTGAAACATCAGGAATATAAATTAAGTTAATATCTCACATTTAGAGATGCATTGTAGGAACTGTTTTTCGATGACATATTACCAGTAAGGCTAAAAGTTGTAAAAGCAATAAAAAGGTCTTATTATAGAAATGAAAAGTTTTAAGAGTGTTATTATATTTATACAATTTTTCAGTTAATTCATTAATATGTTTTCCCTATCTAAGTGAACAATGCAACCACAATCTTAAATACATGATTTCATTAAAAAATGGCACTTGTAGACTTAAATGTAATAATAACTAATAAAACAGTTTAGCTATAATGGATTTTAGTTAGATAACAAAATTTAAATTAGGATTGACAATTATTTCAGTGATATTGGCTGATTATTCTGCAAGAGCTTTGTTATGAAGAGTTATGCAGAATTATACTAAAAATACAACATCAAAGAAGGCATCCCTAATAGGAAAATAAGTAGATTACCATAGTTTTCCATTTCCAGAGCAGGTATTCCAGTATTTATTTCGTCAGCCGTAAATAAGGTGGGATAAGCAAAATGGCGAAGACGCAAACTGCCGGTAACAAATCTCGCCTCGAAGTGCTTGTGACACACAAAAAACTTATGTAGTTCTTCTGCACTGAGCTGCTTTAATTTTTCACAATTAATTTTTTCCACCCACTTGAGTCCTATCTCAGTCTTTGGAAAACAATGTAATTTAAAATTACGACGCTTGCTTTCGCAATGCGGAACACAACAAGTATTCTTCATGATGAAGGGTACACTTGTATCACAATTTTGAACGTGAGAGGATAAGCACGGAGTTTAACACTTCAACGTAACTTCACTCGATCAAATCCAAAACTGTAATCATAGATAAATATATATGTAGCAAGCTAACTGTAATGAAAATTCAAAATTGAAAATGAAAGCACAAGGCATTGAAACTTAGTCTGTGGTAATAAGAAATGTCATATTCTAAACTACCGTTTATCTATGGTTGAAAATAAGGGCTAATTTTTTTGTTCTAAGATTCCATGCCGTGGATGTCGATGACATTAAGAAGGATCTTTTTCTTTAGCGCATGACATAAATACGAGTAATTATTTAAAGAGTAGATCTACATAGTAGAACTTTAAATAAACAAACGTGTAGACTCTGCGCATGCGGCCACGCAACTGAGCTCCCTGCCTCCCTGTCTCTTATTACACTACACTTATGTACTCTGTGCACTACACGATCCACAGCGCGGCAGGGAAGCAGTCGGTCGCCCTGTTTAGGGACCCTGACTCCCTGTTTCTTATTACACTACCCTGTCCCTGCGGGCAGGGCCCGAGAAATCGTGTAATGTAATAAGCCTTATACGCAGCGTCATTTCTAGGGATGGGCAAAGGGAAAAAATATATCGATATATATCAAATCTACATTTTTAAACAGTATCGATATATATCGCGTGATAAATATCGATATATCGTCATCATTTGCATGGTGGAAAGATAGGGTCCGAAATTTTATTTACTGGCGGTTGGGCGACGAACAAAACGATACAATATTTTAAAATATATCGAAATTGATACGAATTCGATACTCTAAAATAGATATGGAAATGTCGACGATATATATCGATATTCTTATTAAAAATATCGATATTTTTAGCCCAAGTTTAGTCATTTCAGCGTTGCCTATCGCCAAGCAAGGACTTTACGTATCGACAAGCATACAATATAAGTATAATGTTTAACATTGAAAAGTTTCTATTTGAAGTGAGAAAAGACCTGCCCTTTACGATGTTCAGTTGCCCGAGTATCGTAACAGAGAAATAAAGGCAAGGTATTGGTATGATGTGGGAAGTGCTATGTTCACGGAATGGAATGACCTAACCCCTAAAGAAGAGGGTAAGCGTTCAATACTATTTATTTAGGTAATTTTAGTTGTTATAATTATAAGATAGATAATTTGATTTAAACGATGTAGTCATTTTGCCAAGGAACCGCGCCCACTGTGTTAAAATAATATTTTAAGTTCCGAATATGCATCCCCGAATTCTTTGTCCTTTGAAGCACGGGTGTCATATTTTGAAGATTGGATATGTCTTCACTGTTGCTTATAGTAGCATTATGCTCATTTTCCCCGTCATTGGCCTTTAATGCTCGACGCTTTATGAAGTTGTGCAAAACACAAGCTGCTTTTATTACAAGAATTGCAGTGTCCGGTTGAAGATTTATTGTATTATGAAATATGCGAAATTTTGATGTGAGCTGTCCAAAGACACATTCCACGTAACGTCTCGCACGAGACAGTCTGTAATTGAAAATTTTTTTTAATCGTAGGAAGACATCGACCTGGATACGGTCGCATTAAATTTCGATGAATACCGAAGGCCTCATCGGCTACAATCACATATGGCATTTTGGGTCCGTCAAATACCGGTTCTTCTTTTTCCGGCAAATCAAGAGCTCCTTCATACAGCTGTTGACCTAGAATTGAAGATTGAAAAATAGTAGAATCATTTTCACGGCCATAAGAACCTACATCAATAACAGTAAACAAATAATTTGCATCCACCAAAGCCAATAAAACGATTGAGTTGTACTTTTTATAATTAAAGTATAGAGAGCCGGAATTCCGGGGGCACTGAATTCAAATGTGTTTGCCGTCTAGCGCTCCCAAGCAATGTGGGAAATTTGCATTGTCTTTAAATCCCTCTGAGATTCTTTTCCACGATTCTTTGTTTGGGGTTGCCATTTCTGTAGGTGCTAGCACTTTCCATATGATTCCACATGTTTCTTTTATTACTTTAGCTAACGTTTTTTTCGAAATTTCGTACTTATTCTGAAGGCGTTTATAACTTGTTCCAGTAGCGAGACATCTGAAAAATTACTTAATTATTTTAAAAATATACTTTTATCATATTCTACTTTTTTGAAATCGGTTAAAAAACGAAGACCCCACCAAAGCGTTAGGTTTTTATTTATCTATGTTTTTTTTTATTAATATACATAATTACATACATATTATATATACCTACGTTACATAATATACATATAAAATGCATAAATTTAATATAGGTATTACTACAAGTAATGTGAATATATGTTACACACATACAAATGTGTGTGTAATCTGTATTATTTTTAGGAAAAACAAATAACAATTAATTTTGGTTCACTTGTGTCTAGCCAGATTGTAAAAGTGCTTCAGTGATATTCTAAATAAATAAAATTTAATGTAATAATTCTTTATTTCAGGACTTGAGTTAATGACAAAATGGAAATCTTTAAGGGATCAATTTCGTAAGGAGTTAAAGTTGCAGCAATGTTCAAAATCCGGTCAAGCTGCCTCAAAACGACGAAAGTATATCCATTATGATGCATTACTTTCTTTAAAGAAACACACAGAACACGCTTTAACATCGTCAAACATGCTCAACGAGGACAGTCAAGAAGTTTTTGAGGATGACGACAGTTCGGTTAATACCACCCCCAGTGTTACCGAACCATCCACGTCTAATAAAAAGAAAACATTAGTCCAAATGTTTCTGGAATCGAATAAAGAGATATCGAATGTTATGCGCGAGAGCATAGATGTACAAAGAAATAATATTCAACGACAGTATAATGACGAGCGTGGAAATGAGGCATTTTTCCGTTCGATGCTACCACTTATGGACAAAATAAAAGAAGATTATTTAATTAACGTCAGAACTGAGATTATGTCTGTGATTAAGAAAGAAATACATACCACCATCACATACATTGGAAGAATCATATCCTCGTGCATCCACACCAACAAGCGATGACGATATTGCTCAAATCTTAGAACACTTTGATGGAATATAAACTCTACGATTTATATAACTGTTGTAAGCATTTAACACAAATAAAACTGCTTAAAACTTACTGTAGTGTTACTGCTAATCTTTCACATAGCCCGATACTTTTCCTCATATTAGTATCTTGCTTTGATAAGTTTCTTGACAGTAAACTTAACAGTTCATCGAAAACAGGAATTGGCATTAAATATTCGTCTTCAAACCAATCTGGATGATGTCGATATTCTTCATAATTCACATGGAAATGTCCATGACCTTTACGACGTAGTAGCATAGGATGTGTCCACCAACGGCGCTTTTTTTCCTTTCTTAATAACAATAACTGCATATTCACTAGCGTACTTGCACAAGCACCCCATAATACTACATCCATAATAAAGAATTATTTTATTGACTGAGACACTACTTATTTCGGTCTCGTCTGGCACCTAACTGAACTCTTTCAACAAATAAAAGCACAACGCAAAATCGGCGATTCCGTTACGAGTCGTCGCGGACACGCTGCGATTCCGTCACGAGTCGTGACGACTGGCGGAATAATCGCTCGTTCGTGGAGATTACCCGACGATAGAAGCGCGGACTCGTCGCGATTCTCTCGCTCGTGGAGACAGCGCCTAAATAAAACTATCGCTGCGCACCATTGTCCATAGTACTTTGCATCTTTTCTCCTTACTACGTCACAACGGACTTTCCGTGGTTGCTAAGAGCTGTTAATAAAGAGTAAAAAAATACATTGTGAAATGGTAAGTTACTTAGGTAAAGTACCTATGCTGACTATAATCGACCATATTATCTACTATGTGAGTTCTGTGATGCCCAACGCATCAAAGAGATTTAAATATATAGGTATACTATAGAGCGGGCATTGGGAACATTTATATACAAAAACTGAGCTAGTGCGCGTGTGGAAAGCAAGCAAAACAACGCTAAGCATTTATTACGACAACATTTTAGCTATTCCCTAGTAGGTGACGCTAATAAATATAACGTCGTTTTAGGAATGTTACCGTTTCGATGTCAAAGTATTGATAATGTTGAATATTACTAAGTTTGAAATGTTTTTCGATATAATAATAGGGAATATACATGGTTGTTTTATTGTATAAATCTATTTATCATGACTTCCATCCCATGAAAAAAATCATATTAACTTTTTACGCCCCTTTAGTGTCATGAAATAAAATATTTAATTTCCAATTACTAAGAATTAATTCAAACAGCAGTCACTTTGGTTGCCACCTTGGTGGCATCTTGGATGACGTCATTTGGTCCATTAGCTGCTATAATAATAGCATACGATTGATCGGTCGGCGTTAAAGACACATCGAGAAACGCAAAATCCAATAACAGAGCGCCTCTATGTTTTTAAATTCGTTTCTATTACAAAAATACACTTCAAATCTAAAATATTTTACAAAAACACTGAACTTAAAAGCCGTTTCACGATTTTTCACGTTTCATCAGCTGCAGTACTTGAAGACACTACCCACATCAATAAAAATTGTTATTTTAAGTTTTTACCTTATTTTCTAAGTCGGGCTTAACCTACAACTTCTTGCATCTAATATCTTTAACAGTACAAATTGTTTTAAATGTAAGAAACCTATAGCCCTCTCCTATCACTGTAAGCGAGGATCTATAATGGCTTTGTCCTTGAAGACCACCAGACAATGAAGCCTGGTATGTAAAAGAGAAGACTTGCTGTATTGCTAAGCATCAACACAGCAACTATCCTCAGCATGCTCATAAGCAACACAGAAAATCTCATCAGCATGCCTAAAAAAAATTCCCAGCCTTGCTCCACATAAAGTAGGCTACTTAGCATAGTTGGTATATGCTACTCATTTTTGTTGGTATGGGTACGTACAGTATAGTTGACTGTTTTACCTCCTTAAATATTGTAAAGGATTAAATCGGCATTCTGTATATTTTTTATCGATAATCCCAATCGATAAACGTCGTCTCCGTGTACTGGCGGTTAAGAATATCCACTACCCCATATCTTCCCGTGGGTGTCGTAAAAGGCGACAAAGGGAAACAGGCAGGAGATGTACAGCAGCATCTTCCTGGTAACGGCAAAAATACGCACGCACCCTGAGGACTGACGAGAAGATTGTGGAGCTGGAAGAAGAGATAGACAAGTTACGCTGGCATATTATAGGATTATCCGAAGTCCGAAGAGAGGGGGAGGACACGGTAATCCTCGAATACGGCAACTTGCTCTATTACCGGGAGGGCGACCATCTGTCCCAAGGAGGTGTCGGATTTATCGTCCACAAGTCTCGTTAACAACGTTGTAAAGATTGAGAGTGTATCGACGAGGGTTGCGTACCTTATACTCAGAATCACCAAACGGTATTCGCTGAAGGTCATACAGGTTTACGCACCAACCTCGGCACACCCCGATCAGGAGGTGGAGGAAATGTATGAGGATAACTCTAGAGCCATGCATTCCTCCAAAACCCAATATACGGTGTTAATGGGAGACTTCAATGCAAAACTAGGCACAAGAAAGAACGGTGAGCTGAAGGTGGGGAAATTTGGAATAGGGCAACGGAACCCAAGGGGCCAGCAGCTGGCCGACTTCATGGAGAACGAGGGACTCTTTATGATGAACTCTTTCTTCCAGAAGCGGCCCCACAGGAAGTAGACCTGGTCGAGCCCCGAAGGTTCGACAAAAAATGAGATTGACTTCATTATGACGACCAGACGACAACTGTTCAGTGATGTCTCAGTGATCGCGAGGGTGAAAACCGGCAGCGATCACCGAATGGTTAGAGGCACACTGAACCTAAACGTTAAGCTGGAGAGGTCTCGTCTAATGAAGTCAACGCTCCGTCCCCCTCGTGCTCTAATCCAAAGTCCCGAAACCTTTCAGCTCGAGTTACAAAACCGTTTTCAGTGCCTAGAAGACTGCAATGAAGTGGATGATTTGAATGACAAGCTCGTGGAAACTGTCCATGCGGTCGGAGCTAAGTTCTGCAAGACCCGCCGCAGAAGAACACAAAAACTCTCCGATCACACTCTTAATCTCATGGCTGTTAGACGGGAGATGAAGCTACATTCTTCAACAGATTTGACAGCATACAGGCAACTGAACAGACAGATCTCCAAATGCATGCGGCGGGACTTACGCAACTTCAATACAGCTCGTATTGAAGAAGCGATCGAGCGGAACCAAGGCTCCAAAGTCTTTGCCAGAGATCTGTCTGCCAGAAAGAGCCAACTGTCAAAGCTGAAGACCGAATGTGGCAGCATCGTTTCCGGGGCACCTGAGATTTTGAGTGAGATTGAGAGGTTCTATGGGCAGCTGTACACGTCATCGTTGGAGCCGCACGCAAGTGTGAGTAACAATCCAAGAGCGAGTCTTATCCGACACTATTCCGAAGATATCCCGGACGTCAGTCTGAGCGAGATTAGAATGGCTCTCCAGCACCTTAAAAATGGCAAGGCCCCAGGCGAGGATGGAATTACAGCGGAGCTTCTGAAAGCGGGTGGAAAACCGGTACTTGAAGTCCTTCAGAAGCTCTTTAATTCCGTCCTCCATGGTGGCATTACACCGGAGGCGTGGAGCAGAAGTGCGGTGGTCTTGTTCTTCAAGAAAGGCGACAACGCTCTTTTGAAGAACTACAGATTTCCCTTCTGAGCCGCGTCTACATGCTGTTTTCGAGAGTCATTACGAATCGTCTCGCGCGCAGACTTGACGACTTCCAGCCTCCTGAACAAGCCGGTTTCCGAAAAGGCTTTAGCACCATAAACCACATACATACCCTTCGGCAAATTGTACAGAAGTCCGAGGAGTACAATTTGCCACTATGTCTGGCGAATGTGGACTATGAGAAAGCCTTTGATTCCGTCGAAATTTGGGCGGTGCTGCAGTCCTTTCAGCGATGCCAAGTTGACTGTCGGTATATCGAAGTGTTGAAGTGCTTGTACAGTAGGGCTACGATGGCTATCCGAGTACAGAACCAGAGTACGAAACCTATCCAATTGCAGAGAGGTGTAAGACAGGGTGACGTCATATCCCCGAAACTCTTTACCGCTGCATTGGAAGATGTTTTCAAGCTTCTGGACTGGAAAGGATACGGTATCGACATCAATGGCGAGTACATCACTCACCTTCGATTTGCCGACGATATAGTCCTTATGGCAGAATCGCTGGAGGACCTAAGCACTATGCTCAATGACCTCAATAATGTTTCCCAACGGATAGGTCTTAAGATGAACATGGACAAAACAAAGATCATGTTTAATGTCCATGTCACACCTATGCCGGTAGTTGTTGGGAACACTAAGCTCGAAGTTGTTGACGAGTATGTTTACCTGGGACAAATAGTCCGACTAGGTAAGTCCAACTTCGACCGACCGAGAGGTCAATCGACGGATTCAACTCGGTTGGGCAGCGTTCGGGAAATTACGGCACATCTTCTCGTCAGGTATACCTCAAAACTTAAAAACGAGACTGTACACCCAGTGCGTGTTGCCAGTGATGACATACGGAACTGAGACGTGGTCCTTCACTGCTGGCCGGATGAGGAAGCTCAAGGTCGCTCAGCGAGCTATGGAAAGGGCTATACTCGGAGTTTCTCTGCGTGATAAACTCAGAAATGAGGATATCCGCAGTAGAACCAGAGTGACCGACATAGCCCAACGGATTAGTAAGCTGAAGTGGCAATGGGCCGGCCATATAGCTCGAAGAACCGACAACCGATGGGGAAGAAAGGTTCTCGAGTGGCAGCCTCGTACCGGCAGGCGAAGTGTAGGGCGTCCTCCCAGTAGATGGAGTGACGACCTGGTAAGATATGCAGGAAGTCGATGGATGCAGGTGGCTCAGGACCGTACTTTATGGCATTCTTTGGGGGAGGCCTATGTTCAGCAGTGGACTTGTGAAGGGCTGTAATGATCATGATGATGAAACGTCGTCAATCACTAACTTTAACAATGGTAACTAAATAATGTGACATTTACTGGATAACAGAGGGCGCTTATTTCAATAAAAATAAATGTTCTAAAACAATCTACTAGAAATAATAAAATTTAAAGATTATTCGGTAAATATATGTTATATTTACGATAATAAACCGAAATCACTTTCATTTTTTGCTACATATCGTGACTTACAATATCTTAATGCACAACCGGGCATATTTTATTTAAGGCTTTAACTAGCCTGAATGACCTTGACGAAACGGCGATCGCAGAGATTTTAGACGATGTCAACACCGTCTAGCAACTACGTTCTGTATTACTCATAAAAGTGCAAAGATTAATAGACTGCAGAGATGACAATTATATAAGTGACATACTGCCTGTTATGCTTGCGCATCACTGAGAATTATGTCGCGGTTACGCATCTTCAATTACATTGTGCTG